GCACAATCCCTGGAACACAATAAAGAAACCTAAGTGACTCTAGGTCTGGTGGTGTACGCCCTTAATCTCAGCATTCAAGGGGCAGAGGCCGGTGGGTTTCTGCGAGTTCAACGCCGGCCTGGTCTACATAGTGAGTTCTAGGACAGCCAGGGATACATAGAGAGACCCTGTCTCAAAATAAATTAATTAAGTGAAACACTGGTAAAATTCCCAGTTAATATTAAGAATATTCAGGACTTCTGTGGATTGAACCCTACACCAAGAACACCATGCTGAAGTCCTGGGTGCTTCTGAACATGATTCTATTGGATATGGGGTTGCTGCAGGTGTCACTCAGTAAATTCAAATGAGACATAACTAGACATGAATGCGCCATCGCCAGTGTCCTCAGAAGACAAAAATGTGGACAGTGGCAGAGGCAGAGATTGGAGGAATGGCTGCACACCAAGGGTCGGGGATTGAATTTCACAGTCTACAGTAGTGTCACAGGGAGCGAGGGTTTGCTGGGTCCTCATTTTCAGACTTAGCCTGTATAGCACCTAGATTCTGCTGCTGGAATCCTCAGTTTCCCTGCGGCACCCCTGAGACACTAATACCAGCACCAATGCTGTGGCGGAGGTGTGAATGAGAACAGCCCCCAGAGGTTCGTGGTTAGATGCTTGGTCCCCAGTGGGCAGAAGCGGTTGGGAAGGGTTAGGAGGTGTGGCCTTGCTGGAGATGTGACACTGGGGGTTAGCTCTGAAGTTTCGGGAGCCCATGCCAAGCCCAGTGTCCTGCCCCACACACACCCCTGTCCCCCCAACCTGAGGATCGGATGTGAGCTCTCAGCTGCTCCTCCAGTACCACGCCTGCCTGCCTGCTGCTACACCTGCCACCACGACGGTCAAGGACTCACCCTCTGGAACCAGAAGAAAACTGCCACTTAAATGACTTCTTTTATAAATTGCCTTGGTCATGGTGCCTCTTTACAACTACAGGAAAGTAACTAAGACAAGCTGTGAGCGATGCTTCCTTGTCATTCCAAAGTTCTGTGTAGCACCTTGATGTGCCTATTTGTGCCTTTCCCTCCCTGTTCTCAACAGTTCTGATCTACATAAACTACCGTATCAATAGCTTTCTCATTTTCCCCATTACTCATGGTTCCCTTTCAGGCAACAAATAAGCTCCATTTAATAATTCACTAACAAAATTAACAACAGAAAGTATTAGTGAGTCAAGACTTAAATGAACGGCATGTCCACATTTGTCCATTTTGACATTTCAGCCCTTAATAAGATGAACTGTTCTGTGTGTGCGTGCGCACGTGTGTGTGTGTGTGTGTGTGTGTGTGTGTGTGTGCTCATGGCCAGAGATTGGTGTCAGCTGTCCTCCTCAGTTGCTCATCTTTTAAGACAGTCTCCATGAACCTGGAGCTTGCCTATTTGGCTAGACTATTTAGCCAGCAAGTCCCGGGGATCCTCCCAGCTCTACCTCCTGAGTGCTAAGATAACACAAGTGTGTCACCATGCCTTGCTTTCGTACATGGGTGCTGGGAATCAAATGTGGGTTTTAATGGCTATTCGGTAAGCATTTTATCAACTGAGTCATCTCCCCAGCCTCTATGGTATGTATTTGAAAACTGAGGGCATGAATTTACCTTTCATCTGTGATATAGGAGGGAATAGGAGGGAATTCTAGTTTGAGACTAGATGGGTGGCTCAGAGGTTAAGAACATGTACTGTTCTTCTGGAGGACCCAGGTCCAATTCCCAGCACCCACACAGCACAGCTCACAACTGCCTGCAACTACAGTTTCAAAGAATGTGATGTCCTCATATATGCATTCTCTCTCTCTCTCTCTCTCTCTCTCTCTCTCTCTCTCTCTCTCTCTCTCTCTCTCTCTCTACACACACACACACACACACACACACACACACACACACACACACAAATCTCAAGAATTTTATTTTTGTCTATCTTGATACCGCAGAGCCGTCAGTTTTTAGTTCAGCAATGCAACCTGGTTTATTAAATCAGATACATTTGTGATTTCAGAAGAAAAATCTCTCACAATTACTCAATTTTCTCATGAGGTAGTGAAGACCCTGTTCTTATAAAAACAAACAGTCCCATTGTCGGGATATAGTCTTCAGGAAGCAGGGACACTCTACAATACAAGTGGCTGAGGGAGGCCAAGGCTTACTGTCCCCGCCAACGCCATCGCCTCATGCTTCCCGAAATCCGGGACGCTGCCTACCTGATCAGGAAAACTCCTGGTGGTCCAGGAAAGACAGCTGGAAACACATTTGTGAAGAAATGTGACAGAAGAGCTAAGACTGAGTATTTCCCCAAACTCAGAAAGGCCACAACTGACGATGGGACAGGATACAGCATTTAACCTTCAGTGGCTCACGCTGTCAAGAGGGCTGTCACTGTCCACACCTGGAAGAAGACGACGAAGAGAAAGGGCCAGTTCACAGGACCCTCCAACTCAATTAAGGGAAGGTTCTGGATGAGAGAAATGTAGAAAAAGCAGTTGTGATGCAACCTGAAACCCCGGCAGGAGCAAAGATGCCTTACACAGGAAGAACTCGCCAAGCGTAAGTCTGGAAGAGACGAGTGTGGCTAAACGGAAAGGAGACAGACATGGAGAAAGAGAACTTGGTCTGGGTTAGACCAAGGGTCAGCCTGTGGTGCTAGGTTCAAAGAGCAGCAGCCCTGACAGGGGTGCTGACTTCTCCTCCAGCCTACCTCCTGGCCCACAAGCTACATCCCAGTAGTGATAGCCACAGGAAGACTTGGCAGCCCTGACACATGGAGCCCTGTCATGAATGACCACGGTCGCTCCCACTGAAAGGCAGCACTGGAAAGAGGGGAACGTTGTGACAGGGAAGGGTGGGGGGAAATGACCAACTCCCCAGAGCCAAGAAATGAACAGAAAAGAAACTGGAAGAGAATGGGAAAAGGAAGAGTCTGAAACACCACACAATTTCAGACATAAGTCAATAAGGAATTAGTAGACAGAGCACCAGACGTACAAAAGGTATAAATCCCTGCAGGCTGTAGACAGAGGCAGGTAGATCTCTGTGAGTTCTAGACCAGCTTGGCCTAGACATCCAGCTCTAGACAGTCAAGGTTACAAAATAATTTTTAAAAATTCAATTGATAGATATCAATAATCTTAAATAGTCCATGATTCTTATTGTGGCAAATATCTATAAAATTCTTCAGTTTGTAAAGCGTGCTGTTCAGTACTGTTCACAAAGTGTGCAGCCACCAGTTCTGTCTAGTTCCAGAACGTTTTTATCACTGGAAACGGAAAGTCCATACCCATTAAGCTGTCACTCTCCAGCCCTCTGTCTTCCTCAGCTGACGGATACCAATCTTCTGTCTCCGGGTCAATGGACTTTTTATTAATACATTGGAAAGAAGGGAACTTTGCAGTCCTTAGGCCTTTTTAGCTGAATCTCAGCTTATGGGGCAAGTCTGTGACAACAGTTCTCAAATAACACGTAAGTTTCTTCAGAGGACTATGTGACTTGTATCAGGGCTAGAAACCGCTCTCCCTTGAAGTGATGAGACCCACAAATGAGAGAGACTCTGCTGTCCAATCCTGAGAGGACCACCTTTTATAAAAAGCAGAATGAACACGGCTCCATCAAGGTGTCCCTTGTCACATCCTGGACTACCAAACACACCAACACTCCCAGATACTGAACTCACAGGAAATCCAATGACTGTTCTTCAGTCATTGCATTTTCAAACTCTGCTTTGGGGATCCAAGCTTTCACCGTCAAAACGTAAAAGGGTGAAACCCTGACTCAGAATTCAAGCTAGGTCTGCTTCCTAGCATTCGGAAGTGGTTTCACTTCCTTTGGGGCCCCTCCCTTCTCAGGCTCTGATTTCCCACCCTTCCTTTGGGGTGAGGGAAGGTTTGTCAGAAATAATTGTTCTTTCTGGGATGGATTTTCAGTCTCTCAACACCTTCAGGAAAATGGCAGGGACAGACAGGGTGACAAGGCAGGGAGGATTACCTTTCAAAGCGCAGCCGGTTTTTTTGTTTTGTTTTGTTTTTTCCAGGAGAAATGAATGGTAGAGGCAAAGAAACGTGTCAGAGATGCACAGATGTAAACTGAACATGAGGCCAGAAGCCTTTTGTTTTAAAATGATGGCCAGCACTGCTTACCAAGCAGGCAGCAAGGTCTCCCACTTCCTCTCCACCCTGCCTCCATCCTACCCTCACCAACTGCTTCCCCAGCACTGGGTGGGAAGGGCTTGCTGTCTGCAAGCTCGCGCTGGGGGGCCGGGGCCCCCAAGCACGGAGCCCCAGGTCTATTGAACCTCAACTCACAGGGCAGCAGCGGGGTGGGGGGGATCCCTTTATTTCTTTTGAGAGAGCAAGTGTGAAGGGTTTTCAGCAACCATACTAGCTCAAGAAAAATCCCACACTTCAAACTGAGGAAGCCCGAACCCAGAATTGTGCCAAATTTTGGCAAAGTCCTAAACTGGAGTAAACTAGAGGTGGTAGGGTGCGAATTACAACTCTGTGAAGATGCCCCCCCTCGTTACAAGTGTCTAACTTTGCTCACTAACAGGCTCACTGGATGCACAAGCCTGGCTTCACCCCAAAGCGCTGCATCTTAGACTGACACGGGCGTCTCTTCAACAAGTGTCCAGGGGATCCTTATGTGGGGAAGGTGGGTGCAGCAGGAGCCTCATCATGCTCTGGGCACCCCGGTGAGAGGGTCCCACAGTCCCTCACGCCCCGGAGCTTGGGGTCAGCGGCTGTGCCCCTTCTTCTGCCCAGGGCCCCGGTGTGCGCCAGCGTCACGACGCGGGAGGGGAACTCGCCTCGGCTAGGCGGAGGCTCGGGCTCCGGGGGCTGGGGCTGGGGCTGGGGCTGGGAGATGACAGCCTGACTTCCTGCGCCGAAAGTGAAGCAACTCGGGAAAGTTCCCGGGGCTGCCCCGGCTTCCCGGAGCCGCCTCCCCACGCCCCGCACTCGCCGGCGGCCGCACGCACCTGAGATGGTCTCCTGGTACCCCTTGGTGAAGAACTGCATGGCGGTGGCGGCTCTCCAGGGCGTCTTGAGCAGCCCCTGCCGCTGGGGGTCCTCGCCCAGCGAGCGCAGGATGGACGAGTAGGCGGCCGCCAGGTTAGGGAGGTTCAGCTCGTTATCCTCCTCGCTGCGGGGCCGCCCTGCCTTCCAGGCGTCGGCCGGCTGCGCGCTCTTGGCCTCGGGCGCCCGGGGCTTCTCGGCCGGCCGGCTGGCCCCGGGCCGCGACAGCTCCCGCTCGGGGAACCCATTGGTGCACCTGGGTCCCCTCGGCTTCTCCGCCGGCAGCGGGCCCTTCTCCATGGAGCCGGCGCGACTGCTCCCGAGACTCTCGCCCAGGGGTGCTGCAAGCGCTGCGGCTCGGCTTCGCCGGCGGCCGTGACCTGTGGCCGTGACCGGGACGGAGGCGTCAGCCTGGAGACAGTCTCCGGCAGGGAAGGGCAGCGGCCGGCTGGGCAGCCCCGCCGCGCCTCTTTTTATGGCCGGGCGCCGCGGGCTGTTCTCATTGGCCCGAGCCTCTTGCGTCACGGCGCTCGCCCCGCCCCTCCGCCCCGCCCTCCCGGTTGGCCCCTAAGCCCCGCGGGTTGCACAAGACTGGGTTCAGGTTGGATCCCTTCGGCTTACGAAGGGAAGAACTGAGTCAGCAAAGGGACAGGAGTCCAGGGAGCCGGAACCTCGACGAATAGAGAGACGCCCGGGTCCACCTCACTTTCGAAGGGCGAAGGGGGCGTGGTCGCAAAAGTGTTGTGGTCTGGTGGCCCTGTGAAAGATGAGTTAACAGGTGACCTTGGCTGGGGCAGGCAGGGTGGAGCAAATTAGCTGGTGATAAACAACTCCCGTACTCTTTAAAAATAAACAAAACGTTTTTTTAACTTTTTAGGTTATTTTTTTGAGACCAGAATTAATTTCGTTTCTCCTTTCCCTTTCATCCCTCCAAACCTCTCCCCCACCTTGCTCTCTTTCAAATTCATAGTGTCTTTTTCTTTAATAGTTGTTACATCTGTGTGTGCATGTCCCCAAATATGTAAGCACAACCTGCTCAGTCTGTATAATGTCACTTGTGTGTATCTGCTTTCAGGGCTGACTATTTGGACCTTGAGTGCGCTTCCCTGGGGAAGACTAGCCCAGGCTTGACGCCTGTTGTTCTTTGTCTAGGGCTACGGCCTCCTGAAGTCCTCCCATTCATCATCTTCCCCCACTCCATGTTTACATGTCTGTTGGTGTCATCCTTTTGTTTTGTTTTGTTTTGTTTTTTTTGGAAACAGAGTCCCACTATATAGCTGTCTGGCCTGAAATTTGCTATGTAGAACACCAGGAGGCCTTTAATTCACAGGGATCTGCCTGCCTCAGACTTGTGAGTGATGGCTAGAGAAGTTGTGACTTGAAACTTGTTCAATGGTTTAAAATGAATACAACACCTGCCACTCTGGCCACTATCAAGGCATGAGTTACCTACCGCACCTAGCACTCCGCAGAGCGCCTCTGCCTAGGAAGAGACAATGTTTGTGAACTGCCAGATCTCTGCTTCTAGCCTGATAGTGTGTAATACTTCAGGAACTGCTCCTTGGTGAACTAAAGAGTGACAAGAAGGGTTGGAGTGATAGCTCAGCAGTGAAGAGCACTTGCTGCTCTTCCAAAGGGCCTGAGTTCAGTTCCCACCACATTCATCAGGCAGCTCACAGCCATCTATAACTCCAGCTCCAGAATATCCAATCCCTCTACCCTCCATGGGCCACACACAAACCCCCACACAGACACAGACACATAATTAAAAATAATAAAAAATGAATCTCTTAAGGAAGAGCAGATGAAGAAGTAGGCATCGATGGTCTTGATTTGCATGACTGAAAAACATCTTCTGACCCAGCAATTAGGATTCTAGTAGTTTCGAGTCATTTGGCCACAAGCCTCCAAACATGAGAAGGCGCTCACCAATCAGCAATCACCCATCTCCTGAATAAGCTGCCTCTCTAACTCAGCTTTCCCAAGGGTGTTTCTACGGACCAGGCTGGCCTCGAACTCAGAGATCTGCCTGCCTCTGCATCCCAAGCGCTGGGTTTAAAGGTGTGCGCCGCCACCGATCAGCCTGAGAGCGAGAGTCCCTGCCTCTTGCCATCAGCTGAGTTTACCATTGCCTCACTTGTTTGTCTGCTGATTAGCTAGCTTCCTGCTTGTGATAAGCCTCCTGCTGGCCAACATTTGAGGTGGCCAGAACTTTGACCCTAGAAAAATTGATTTGCAAGTGAAAAAAGTTAGCATTTTCATTTAAAACACATTTGTGTCTTGTGGGGAAATAGGAGGTTGATCAATTTTAAGTACAAAGATCCATTCCCCAGACGTGGGTACAAACTGAAATGTTATTGGTCAACTGGGCTTTTTTTCTCCCCCTCCTCCTCCTCCTCCTCCTCCTCCTCCTCCTCCTCCTCCTCCTCCTTTCTTCTTCTGGCATAAGGTTTCTGTGTGTAGCCCTGGCTGTCCTGGAGCTCACCATGTAGACCAGGCTGGCCTCAAACTCAGAGATCTGCCTGCCTCCCAACTGCTGGAACTAAAGGCGTGTACGGCCAACTCGACTGGACTCTAAACCAGTAACATATGCTTTTATTGAATTGTTTTCTTTGAGATTGGAAAAAGAAATAAGACGGCTTTGCTCAGTGGAGGGATTATGTCATAATTTCAAAGGTGAATTTTATCAGGCAATCAAATCAGTATCTTATTTGTTTCAGAGAGTATCTTATGCTGTTTCTCTGACTTATAAACAGGTATTAGTAAGCCTAAGATGACGAAGAAGATAAGCTCCTGGAATTGTCCTGTGCTGATAAAGTCTATTACTGTAGCTTATAATTCATATTTATTGAACATGTATTCCAAAAAAAACATTGAGGAAAGAAAATGAACATTCCTTAATCTCAAAGTCACCCTCTGAGGTGAACAGGAGAAATGAGGCTGGGGGATAGCTCAGTTGGTAGAGTGCCTTCCTGGCACATAAAAAGCCCAGGTTTCTACCCCCAGAACTCCATAAATCAGACATGCTGGCACAAGCCTATCACCCTGGCACTGGGGAAAGGAGGCAGTGGGATCCAACATTCAAGAGCATCTTCAGCTACCCGGAGCTTTTAGGAGTAGCCTTGGTTAAGTGAGACCCTGCCTAAATAAAGAAACAAAACAGAAAAAATATAGAACACTTGCCTCGTTTATTTCAACTTAGGCTCCATCCTGAACACTGCCCCCCCCAAAAATGTGTTTTTCTTTTTGTTTGTGTGTGTAAATGTATGAAATATGCATATCATTGGAATTTTTAAAAGTTAATTATTAAATTCATATATATATGTATATGTGTACATATGTATATATATATATCAGATAGTCAACTACATAAATCAAGAAATGACCATCAGACTGTTACAAGTATAGCTGGAGGCAACATTTAAAAAATAGCTCATGTGTTTAACAAGTAAAAACAAAGATACCACGGGAAGTGTGTGTGTGTGTGTGTGTGTGTGTGTGTGTGTGTGTGTGTGTGTGTGTGTGGAGTGTGTTCGGGAACACGCATTTATATTCAGGTGAGCACGCGCATGCAGTCATGGAGAAGAGAGCATCAGGAAGCTTTCCGTCTTCATCCTGTTTTGGAAACTGAGTCTCTCACTGAAGCTCACTGATTGGAGTAGTCTGACCTGCCAGTGAATCTGGGAGTCCCTCCCATGAAATATCCCCACTGGCTCCTGTGCTGAATGCTTAGTCGCCAGCAGGTGGCGCTATATAGAGAGGGGTGGGAACTTCAGGGCTTGAGGCCTAGCTGGAGGAAGCAGCAGGTCACTCACTGTGCCTGACTTTGGTCCCACTCACTGTACCAGGAGTTTCTACATCTTTCTCTTCTTCTGCTTCCTGTCGGCCACGAAGCGAAGAATGCCACATGCCACACACTCCTGTGATTGAAGAAATAACAGACAAAAGAAGCAGTTCTTGACTCCAGGGAACACAAGAGATGGCTTATTCCAGAGCCAAATATGAATGACCACAAATATGAGAGCACACGTGCAGGTATCCTCCCCCTCCCCATATGTTTCAGTGAAGTAGCAATATCACAAAGTTTTTATAGAAACTGAACGAAGAAGGTCATAAGCCAACTCACTTTTAAAATGCTTTGATGGGTGCACTCGGGGGGCAGGTTTTAGTAAAGTGGGGAAAACTTGCCTGTACCTCTCAGGTACTATCTGCCTGTGCTCTGATTCCTTTGGTTGGTGAGGAACCAGTGATGTTTGTGAACATTCCAAAGGATGTACCTGTCATAGGGTTTCTATTGCTGCAAAGAGACACCATGACCATAGCAATTCTTATAAGGGAAAACATTTAATTGGGTGGCTTATGTTTCCAGAGGTTTAGTCCATTATCATGGACAGTGTGTAGGCAGGCACGGTGCTGGAGAAGTAGCTGAGAGTCCTACAGCTTCACTTGCAGGTAACAGGAAGTGGTCTGTCTTACTGGGAGTAGCTTGAGCATAGGAGACCTCAAAGCCCACCCCTACAGTGACACATTTCCTTCAACAAGGCCACACCTACTCCAACAAAGTCACACCTCCTAATAGTGCCACTCCCTTTGGGGTCATTTTCTTGCAAACTACCAAAGTACCTAATAGTCACAAAGATGTTAGGTCATTTACAGAGAAGCGCAATAAATGTCTACTAAGAACATTAAAGATGGCCTGAGATAATTTGTCTTAAACTGGAACATCCCAAACCTCCCATAATCTTGAAGTTCCACCTAGTCAGCCTCGCAGAAGGCTCAGAATAAGGGACAGTTATTTGCAGGAACTTCCATTCACAGAATGAACCTCCTAAAAGCATGAACAGTCAGACTTTCCCCTTTACCTTATTCTGTCAGGTATTTTTCTCAGAGGGGTGCGAAGTATGATTCATGAAACTTGTGATGGATAATAGATGGGTGGTGGTGGCGCACGCCTTTAATCCCAGCACTCGGGAGGCAGAGGCAGGCGGATCTCTGTGAGTTCAGGGCCAGCCTGGTCTACAGAGCGAGTTCCAGGACAGCCAGAGCTATACAGTGAAACCCTGTCTTGAAAACAAAAAAAAAAACAAAAAAAGAAAAGGAAATGTTGTGATGGGTGGCTTAAAATAACAACACACAGTTGATTTTTCAGGAACATAGAGGAAGTTCAAAATGGCTAAAATCACCAACACTTTACCTGTCGATGGCTAGGGGATGGCCTCTCGATGCAAGAGGCTGTAAATGTATGTCCTCAGAGCACACTAATGCCATTGTTTCTGTGCATGAACCCTGTGGAAAACTATGCAGCCTGATTATGTATGTAGATCATCAATTGTTTCAGGATTCCTTACCGCTGATACCCTTCCCCACAGTTCAGTCCCGTAGGCACTCCAGTCTTCAGGGAGGTGGATTTGAGACTTGAGGCTCCCACCTCCTCACATCTGGCCCTCATATATAAACTCTCCTTTGAAAAACAGGTCATTTCAGTGATTGGCATACCCTTAGACTTCTGAAGCCACTGAAAGAGACAGGATGCAGAAAGGAGACTAGAGACTGACCTCAACAGACTCGACTATATTTCAAACAGTGAAGGACAGACACTCTCCCACGGGAAAGGGGTGTCGGTGAAAGGGATGGGGGATACTTGGGGGTCTTATAGAAAGTTTGGGAAATACAGCAGCTGGAACTATGCTCAAGCCTGCTGTTTCTTCCTCCTTGTATCATCTGATCCATCAAGACAGGCTACCTTGAGACAGGCTGAGCCACCGGTGGCTGTTTGAGCAAGGCCAGCTATAACCTCACAAGAATTCTGTTTCTACAACCACAGCGTTCCATCAAATACAGTGAGGCAGGCAAAGCACCATGGGTAACAGCAGTGCCTTTCTACCAGTGCCTAGAGGCACTACAAGGAAGGAAGCCTTGAAACCAGCAGTACTATGCAAGCATTTTAGTAGCAAAATGTAAACCATTGATGGGGTTGGTTTTCTGAAATAATGGAGAAAAGGGAGGCATAGACTAAATGAGAAAGGTGTGCCCCACAGAACTCATTAGCACAAGATAGTCCGGTACCAAACTATAAGCATTTATGTACAGGAATTATAATGATACCACATTTCTAATCCAGTAAGAGACTCAGTAGCAGGTTGTACCCAGCCTAATAATTTTTTCTCTTCCAAAAGGCCAAGGAACTTTTTTTAATCCTATCATTTGTAGTGCATGGGGCAGAAAAAGAAGTAGATAAGAGAGACACATGGTGTCAAAGACTGATTGCTGCCAGACTAGGGAGATGGCCTAGTCAGTTGCCAAGGACAACAGACAAAGTGGCATTAGATATTGGGCAACGCTGGTTAGAAACATGCCAACGTCTTCAGGTAAGCTTGCTGAAGGCTCTATGCTTGAAAATCGAGCTTTGGGGGAGACTCGGGGTCACAGTGGAAAGGTCCTGTGCTGGCTAGTTTTATATCAACACCAACTAGAGTCACTTGGGGACGAGGAACCTCAAGTGGGAAAATTCCCACACCACATTGAAGATCCATGCGTGAGAGCCGTGTGGGTGGTGGCACCCCTAGCGGGTGGTCCTGGGTTCTACAAGAAAGCAGCTCAAGCAAGCCACGGGGAGCAAGCCAGTCAGCAGCTCCCTCCATGGCTGCTGCTTCAGTTCCGGCCTTGACTTCTCTGGATAATGGACTACACGCTGCCGGATGAAATAAACCCTTTCCTCCCCAAGTTGCTTTTGTTCGTGGTGTTTGATCACAGCAGTAGAAATCCTAAGGTAGGTACACATAAAAGATGCCCACCCACCCCCCCCCAAAAAGTCCTTATTTCATCCTGATACCGAAGCAAGACTGTGGAGTCAACAGGATCCTAAAATGTCGCTAATCCATCATTATGTAGGGAATTCGACTGAGGCCATATTCTCTTCTGAAGGGGAATGGAGCAACTTGGGGGGTGGAGAATATGAGAAAACGGAAGCTCTAAGTACATGGAAGGGAAGACTCGTGGGTGCCAGACTGAGCCAGGAACCCATCAGAAGACTAAAGCCCCTCACAAGGGCAGAGTAGACTAAATCAAAACCATTACCTGTTCCAGTAGAAGAGCTTCGACATCTCAGGGGGATGATTAGCAGCATGGATGCTATCTTTGGACTCTGCCATAGCTAAACTCTGTCCTAACCTTCACAATCCCTCATGGAAGAAATGTCATTAACACAAACTCTTCAAGCTCTGAACTGTAACAGAGCCAGGGGATAGGGATGTGAAAATGTCACTGTCCATAACATCAAAGAAATTCAGGGGTCTATAACGAGTTACCCAAACATAGACATATCACAGAAAAATAGCAAGACAACAGAAAAAATAATATCTAAGAGCCTAACAAAGCTAAACTAAACTAAGAGAAGGTGGTGGTCATATTTAACTTGAGTGTCCTGGGTTTCTGTTGCTGTGATAAAACACCATGGTCAAGAGCAGCTCAGGGAAAAATGTAGGTTTACTTATCTTAAAGCTCTCACATTACACTCCATCCTGGGTGGAAGTCAGGGCGGGAACTCAAGGCAGGAACCTGGAGCCAAGAACTGAAGCAGAGACCATGGAGGAGTTACGTTTACTGGCTTGCTTCTAGTGGCTTACCCAATCTACGTACACAAGTTAGAACCACTTGCTCAAGTTTGGCACCACCCATGGTGACCTGGACCCTCTGACATAAGTCATTAACCAAGAAAATGCCCACCAGACTTGCCTTCAGTCAAAACTTATGAAAGTATTTTCCTCAGTTGAGCCCCTGTTCCCAAATGACTTGTGTCAAGTTGACCTAAGACTAAACAACACAACCAATCCCTTGTCAACTCGACACACAAACATATCATTATTATACCATAAACCTTCCTTTCTTGTTCATCCCCAAGATCTCAGGTTAATACTGAGATAATATCGTCATGTAAAATACAGTCAAACTTTTCTTTCAACTGTGGGCTCCTGTAAGATCAAAAACACACTAAATACTCTCTTACTCCAAGAGAGAAAATCCAGAGCACAGTCACAATCAAAGCAAAGCAAAACCAAACTTCAAAATGTCTTCAGTGTAAAAAGGTTCAGTGCTTGGCTTCTGGGACCCACACATGATCCCATGGACTCCAAAGAGTCTGGGTAGCTTGTCTAGTTTGTCATCCGAGGCCCACACAGCCTGCCTCAAAGGCTCAGATTGGCTCTGCTCGACCACTGCTGCTGTCCTTGGTGGTCACCCCTGGTATGCGTATCTCCAAAATGCTGGCATCTTCACTGCAGCTGAGGTCACCCTCACCAATGGCCTCCCCCTGCCCTTCTTCAGGGACCCTGATCCTGCCACACGGTGCCAAGTCTCAATTTCTCTTCATGACCACTTAACCCTAAGACTTGTACTACGATTGAGGCTGCACCTTCACCAATGGCCTCTCCTGACACCTCTGTTGCTCTCCATGACCCATTCATGCCTCCAACCGGTACCTCCTGGGAAATGTTTACGCATTTCCGGTACCTCCTGGTCAAGTCCAGCTGCCAGCAGGAAGCACAGCCATGGGCCCCTCTGGATTATAGCTTTTGTGTGCTAACCCTGAGGAAACACTTCACTCAAGATCTCTCCTCAGTAAAGCTGCCCTTTTCTTAGTCAGGCTGATCCTGCAGCGCTGACTGACTCACACAGCTTTTCTCAGCAAAGCAAAGGTTTCAGTTCTGTAGTGTTAGCCTCTTGTTAATCACAGCTGACCCTTCATTCATCATCTTCAGATGACCAAAAACCACAGGGTTTTTTGTTTTGTTTTGTTTTTTGTTTGTTTGTTTCTTTTGCTTTGTTTTTCAAGACAGGGTTTTTCTCTGTGTACCCCTGACTGTCCTAGAATTGGTTCTGTAGACCAGGCTGACCTCAACTCATAGAGATCCACCTGCTTCCGCCTCCCAGAGGAATTAAAGGTGTGCACTACCACTGCCTGGTTAAACCACAGATTTTTTTTTTTTACTTTAAAAAGCTCTTTAATATAGCAATATAGCATAGATAAGGTTCTGGCTGATGTCCAGGGAGGTTCAGCCATGAGAGAAAATTTTGTTAACTTGTAAACCACAGATTCTTTTTTTTTTAAAGATTTATTTATTATGTATACAGTATTCTCCTTGCATATATGCCTGCAGGCCAGAGAGAACACCAGATCTCATTATAGATGGTTGTGAGCCACCATGTGGTTGCTGGAAATTGAACTCAGGACCTCTGGAAGAGCAGTCTGTGCTCTTAACCTCTGAGCCATCTCTCCAGCCCAAACCACAGATTCTTAACACAGAAAAATCACTTGAGTAGATCTGTGAAACTTCACAAACCAGACCTCCATCATCTGCTTTTCTCTCAACACTCTCATCTTCCAAACTCTCATAGAATGGTCCATTAGGCTTTGAATACTTGTAGAATATTATTTTAACTTGGCAAAATGTGTTATTTTGTTTCTGCTGCAGAATATTACTCTAACGATGTGAAGGTGTGTTCCATTTGTTTCTGCTGCGGAATGTTACCCTAACGATGGGAAGGTGTGTTCCATTTGTTTCTGCTGCGGAATGTTACCCTAACGATGTGAAGGTGTGTTCCATTTGTTTCTGCTGCGGAATGTTACTCTAACGATGTGAAGGTGTGTTCCATTTGTTTCACCTTGCCTGTCTGAGGCACCTGGATGGCCAGTAGCTAAGCAGGGGAGGGATAGTTAGGGCTGGTGGGCAGAGAGAATAAGAAGGAGGAGAAATTCAGGCTGGATAAAGAAGAAGGAGAAGAGAACAAGGGAGGAAGAGAGGAACATGCTTGGGGCCGGAATTCAGGCGGCTGTCAGCCAGCCAAACACTAGAAGCAATGAAAGTAAGATGTACAGAAGGAAAGAAAGGCAAAAATCCCCAAGGCAAGTGTGGATGAAGAGAAACGGGGTAAGGTACCTCTCAGGTGCAATACTTAGGTCCAGAGGTATTTCCAATTTCAGAGTTTTGGGGGTTGGAAATATCTTAATGAGCTTTGCTGAGTCCTGTGTGGAAATCTTACATCTGAATGGCTGTAAAATCAAAAGTCAGTGCTCAGAAGTCTCAGAGCACCTTGGACTTGAGAAAGATGAAACTAGACTCTAAGTGCCATGAGTTTGGTTCTGTTTGATTTTGCTTGTCTTTTAATGCACGTAGTAAGATAGCTAATTGTAGAAATAGGGAATTACATCTCAGAAGTATAAATTCATTTCACTGAATAGCACTGACTACTTAATGTCCACACACTACATTCCCAGACATTGTGCAATATAACAGTCAAACAAGAAAGCTTGACTTAATTTATGTTTGATTAGAATAAGGGGCAGGCTCTCACCTAGGATGTAATCAATGGTCAAGACATAGGTGGACATCTATCTGTAAAAAGTGATGTCTCCAACTGTCCACCACCCGAAAGTGAGGCTACACACACCCAACCTGTGTCTTTCACCACCTTCTGCCTGATCTGTCAATTAGATGGCAGCTGTGTGTGGAGAATATCTGGTTTACCAAGAATGGAAGATTTGTTTTCTAGTCAACAAATGCTTTCAAGTAGTAATTTAACTGTCAATGAAGAATAAAAAGGTGCTTCAGAATTTTAGCGGTTCTTGGAAGCTCTCTTGTTATTGAATGAAGCTTCCTCCCAGTTGCCTGGGGAACTGCATTTTAATGTCACATGTCAAGCAGTTCTTCCCCGGATATAATTGTGGTTTATCTGATGCCTTGTTTAAAGCTGTTCAAATGTTTGGCTTCTGGGAAGTGTTCCTTGGCATCACTCGTGACAGTGATAGACATGAAATAATTTTAATACATTTCTTTCTAAATTCAACTAATTTGTTGAATAACCAGAGGAAGAAACTTATATAAATTGAAAATGCATTTATTACCAGAATAACAGACAATGATCTATGTAGGAAAGCCTCTTAACGGCAACTCACTGGCATCCCTACAGGGATGCATAGTGGGATTAAGCTGCGTACCAATGGGCCTCTGCTTTATGGAAGTCAGTGCTAGATGCCCAATCAAACATTTTTAAATCTTTTCTTTCACTAAAACATTCTCAATTTTGCTTAAAGAAGTCATGTCCTTGGACTTGACTAAGAAAACAAACAACAACAACAAACCCCACATTTTTCAGATTCCTCACAGCTATGGTGGCCACGTGCATAGTTTAGCCTACAAGTTATTACTGTTGCCAGATGGCATTTCTGGTTCTTTAAAGAAGACAGATGATACTGAGATGATAAATCCAACTCTAACCTCATAGTCTTTCTCTCCACAGACGTGCAAAGGCTATACGAGTGTACATTGGCCTCCCTGTGTTCAGGAGACCCCAAGCCCAAGCTCAGGATTACTGAGAGAAAAACAGAGCAATTCCAGTCCTCAAGAACAGGGTTTTCATTACTTCTGAAACATAAAGCAAGCCGGGCGTTGGTGGCGCACGCCTTTAATCCCAGCACTCGGGAGGCAGAGGCAGGAGGATCTCTGTGAGTTGGAGACCAGCCTGGTCTACAGAGCTGGTTCCAGGACAGCCTCCAAAACAATGCAGAAAAACCCTGCCTCAAAAAAACAAAAACAACAAAAAATAATACCACTCTCACAGTTTAAAGTCAATTTTGAAGCAAACTTAAGTTAAATACTGGCCAAATGGATGGGCTCTGGCCAGATCCATACCCAGATTCCTGAGAAATGGCTCCAAGTCACGGTTTGCAGCGACTTAAGAAAAAACAAAACAAAACAACAAAAATTTATTGCATTTCCCATCAGGTCCAATCAGGGGCAAGCATACATCCTGATGTACCTCCAGTCTACATCCAATCAGGGGCAAGCATATATGCTGACATTTCCTGCCCGTGGACCTCCAGCTCACATGAGATCAAGCACATCTGGTGCAGATGGGTCAAGCAAACTTGTTTAGGGAGTGAAAACACGTGGCTTGTTCTCTCCCATAAACAGTAGCCTCCAACATTTCAGGAACTACCTGTCCTTGGGCAAGAGGCTTACAAATCGGAAGTATTCTTGTTTCATGGATCTCTTAGGTATAGCAATTAAAACTTAAAATGGAACTCTGGCTCTCACACTACCTCTTAGCTAAAGCTCTGTCCTTTAATATCTGTGGAAAAGCTTGACCCACAAAGGAAACTCCTGACCAAAAACTGTATAGATTGAGTTAATCCAAAGCCCCTACAGTTTCTCTGTGCTCCAACTACATAGCACGACATACTGTTTTCCTAAGTCTAAGAAATATGCTTATTTATGCCAGTGTGATCCTGGAATGTGCAGGACTGCTCAAATATCTAATTCAATTTTTCAAAAAGAACCCTAAAAATACAACAAAGTATTTGATTTCTCAGATGATAGTCATTTCTGGCTCCACGCTGGGAACCTTGGGAAGGACAATCAGCTTGGGGTTGGCCGTCTACTCTGTATGGACTCTGCTTCTGCAGCTGGGCTCGCCCCCTCGCCCCCACCTCCCCTAGTGCCTCTGAGGATGCAGGTGCCCTATGACGGCGCAACTGCCCCTCCAGCTGAGCACGTATTGTCCCCATTGCAAGGATGCCCTGGAAAAATGCTGGACCTCAATTCTGTGATGGCAGGATTGGTTGTACTGGTGGCCCACCAATGTGGTCTCTGCCCAGTCATGTTTGTGTGAAGAGCCAAGAACTTACACAGGCACATGCCTAGAGGGCTGGTTGTGCCAGGAGTGTCTGCTGCCATTGCAAGGATCTCTGAAGGTGAGCCTCAGGGACTGTCACAACTCTGTGTCCCTGGTTGCTGTCCAGCTGAGAGGCCAGGACCACACACTTGGTTTGTTGGCTGATCTGAGGCCTGGAAGAGGTGCTGGGCCCAGCCAGGCTGGGTGGTATAGCCTTGTCCTACCTGGTTCTGGGAGACCTCCTCCCTTCTATTCTTCCTACATCTCCAACTGATGGAAGACAAGGTGCAAGCAGGGGGTATCAAATAGCAGGGGGCTTACTAGGAAGATGTTTTCAGCAGGAGAGAGGGGGTGATAAGAGAGTAATAGGAGTGAAGCTCATTATATTCATGTATAACACCGTCAAGGAATGAAACATGTAAAATGTCTTCCTCCTCCGTTCCCTCTCATTTCTCCCTCTCTCTGAAACCATGATGTGTTGCCAAGTAACCAGCCTGCCATGCATTTGGAAACCTGCTGTGGACTGGAAGAGTCTCTCTGGGTCACAGAAGCACTTAGTCTATAGGGCTGACTAAGAGTTCAAGTTCAGAGGGCATACGGAAGTGCTGGCTTTGAGGGAGCTGGCTGGCTTGTCCAAAGAGCATCGCTACCACAAACAAATGGACTGGACAGCAGAGACCTCCTGTGTCCCATTCACCCTAAAGCAGGCCCCTAACTCCTCCTCCTTGTAGCATCCTCCCTCCCTCCCTCCCTCCCTCCTTCCCTCCCTCTCCCCCCCCCTCTCTCCTCCCTCTCTCTCTCTCTCACTCACACACACACACACACACACACACACACACACACACACACACACAAATAGGAACTTGACAGATAGGAACTGGGGTGAGGCTAAACTTGATGCAGAAACATAGCGTGGTTCTTACCCCCAAGACTGTGGAAGTTCAAACTCAGATACATCTGCAATCTAGCTGTCATAATCCTCACACAAAGATGAAACTCAATTGGCTTGGGGTGGGGACTCCTCGAGGTCACATAACTGCCAAGGACATGTGGTTGTTCCCATCTTAGGAGTCCCCACACTTCCTTCCTCTGCACTGTGTCCAGAACTCGTGACTGAAGTGCGCCATCCGCACACTTGAAACCCAACTGGGACCACAATTATTTCCTATAAAATGTATCAGCTGAGCTCCAGAAGACATGTTCTCCTGCCAAACATTCATCTGATTGCCATCCCACCCACCACCCCCCAAAATAAAACCTGGAATTCAAAGCCATGTTCACCATCTTTCTGCCCCCAAGAGAATTTTCTCATATTTTATTTTATTTTAAAATGTTTTTTTCTGGCTGAGGATGTGGCTTGGCTGCCTGACAGGGATGAAGCTCTGTGTTCAGTCCCCAGCACTACAAAAAAGTTGATTATTTTTTCCTGTGACCACAAAAATATGACCATTTGGCCCCTGCGGTAAAGAGCCCAAAGCTAAAGTCAAGACCTCAGACTGCAGACTGGGACGCCCAAATCCTTTATTCTGTGGCCTTGGAGACATGCTTCATCTCTCTGTGTGGCAATAATAATCTCACTGGAAGAAAAGAAAAACTATTGGCAAAATAAGAAGTATTTTGTATACAAAAAGGCTGTAGTAAATGTGCCTAAGCAGTAACAGTGAGGATGCCGTAACCAAGATGCCTCTCTCACGCTGCTCTCTCCTCTGAGTCTTCTGACGGTGTCACTACAGAGCAGCACAAAGCCTCTCATCCAAGATTCTTTAGAAAGCAAAAGGCTAACTGCTGTCGTGTGGCTGCACCTGTCAGTACGCTTGCTTAGCATCACCGTAGCCTGGAGATCAATGCAGCTACTTGCCTCTGGACACAGTATCCCAGCAACACACATTTGAGCCGATTCAGGCTCCTGCATCAAGTGGCTCTTTGCTAGGTTCCATAAATATTAGTATTACACCTGCTTAAGGGAAATGAGCAAATGTTATGTTTACACACTGCCTTTCTCCCGGGATTTTATAACGCTGAGCAAAGAGCCCTTACTGAGCTGCGCAGACCCTTGCAAGAGCAATAGCTTGCGCCGTGTAAACAGAGCAGATGCTCAGACTTTTATCCCCCAGGGCCTTCTGATCCTAAGGAAAAGATATAGTCCTTCTGTGAACCCTCAAAATCGTTTGTTAATAGTCACAAAGGACCCAGGAAATATTCTGACTTCCACACACAGGGGTCTGTCCTGGCATTTTATCTCTCTTCCCACCGGGACAGATTGGTATGCACCTTAAGTTGAAATAACACGAGGGTTATTGCCAAGACATTTAGTAAGCAGTGTGTAAATTTTCCATGTTTTAAGTGTAAATATTCTTCATTTTAAAATCCCTTTATCCTTTCCACATCTGATTGAAAAGGAAAGCAAACCTGTACTGCTTGAATCCATACAGATAGGACATTTACTCTGCAATCCATTATGTAGGGATTTTATATTTTAATAACAAGAGAGAGAACACCATATGAGAATTGGTTCTCTCCTTCCATGGTGTGGACTCCAGGGACTGAATGCTTTACTGGGTTTTGTGTTAGGTGCCCAACCAGGTGAGCTGTTTCTGTGAGCCATTTCCCTGGATCTTGATGAGTTGTTATTGGAAAAATAGCAATTATCTTTTTTTTTTTTTTTTTTTTTTTTGGTTTTTCGAGACAGGGTTTCTCTGTGCCTTTTGGAGGCTGTCCTGGAACTCACTTTGTAGACCAGGCTGGCCTCGAACTCACAGAGATCCGCCTGCCTCTGCCCCCCAAGTGCTGGGATTAAAGGCGTGTGCCACCAACGTCCGGCGAAAGTTTTAAATCTTAAGATAATTGCTGCCGGGCGTTGGTGGCACACGCCTTTAATCCCAGCACTTGGGAGGCAGAGGCAGGCGGATCTCTGTGAGTTCGAGGCCAGCCTGGTCTACAAAGTGAGTTCCAGGACAGCCTCCAAAAGGCACAGAGAAACCCTGTCTCGAAAAACCAAAAAAAAAAAAAAAAAGATTTAAAACTTCCATAATTTCACCTTCTACAGTCATTTTACTGTACTTCTGATGTTTTTTTCTACTCGTTTTTTAGTTATTTAGCTTTTTAGTGTGTGACTGTGTGTGACCTGAGGGAGAGGGGCGCATGTTTCATCATGAAGGTCTAGAACAGCTTCGCTGAGTAGCCCCCCCCCTTGCATGGGTTCAGGATATTGAACTCAGCTCATCAGGCAATGAGTGTCTTTATCTTGAGTGCCGAGTCATTTTGCCAGCCTTGTTTGAGGACTTTGGTTGGTTGGTTGGTTGGTTGGCTCTTGCTTGATATGTTCAAGACAGGGTCTTCCCGTGTTGCCCAGGTTGGCCTTGAATCCTTGTACCACAACTAACCCTGCTGAGTATTACAGCTGTGTACCACAGCCCACCATGCCTAGCTTGCTGTGTTTCTGTTTAATGTTTTCCTATATTCAAACATGTTCTTGCCTTTTATTACCTTCCATTAATAATCTACATTTTATTTCACCATTATACATTTTCCATACTACAGCAAAATTTTCTGTCTATTTTTATTTTTGTAAATATATCATAAGGCAGCCACTTTGCATTTACGTATTTTTGTTTAACCGGTTGGATGGTTTCTGTTTGTTTGTCTGTTTGTTTTGGGAGACAGGGTCTCACTATGTAGTTCTGACTATCCTAGAACGCACTGTGTAGACCAAACTCACAGAAAACCACCAGCCTCTGCCTCCCAAGTGCTGGGAAAAAAGATTTGCACCACCATGCAGTACCATGCCTGATCCTGTAGGAGTGAACCCCACAAAGCTATCCGCCCATGAGGGCGGAGACATGTAAACTGACACAGGTAGATATAAAAGGAAGTGAAAGAAAAAGGAACCTCCCTTTTCTCCTGGAAGCCAGCCATGCTTCTAACTCTTGGTTTGTGCAACTCTCTCTCTCTCTCTCTCTCTCTGGTAAATAAATATATTGTTTTCCATATATAGCATCGAATATCATTATATCTGGTTATATGATCCTGTTATTAACTTTTAAATAAATTTAATCCTCCAATATATACAAACAAAAATTGTACATATCAAAGAAGTAAAATGTTTTAATACATATATATTATGTAATATTTAAAACATGTTAATCAGCTGTCTTCCAATATTTACTATTTCTTCTTCTTCCTCCTCCTCTTCTTCTTTTTTAAAGACTTATTTATATTTATTATGTATACAGTGTTCTGCCTGCATGTATGCCCACAGGCCAGCAGAGGGCACCAGATCTCATTATGGATGGTTGTGAGCCACCATGTGGTTGCTGGGAATTGAACTCAGGACCTCTGAAAGAACAGCCAGTGCTCTTAACCTCTTAACCTCTGAGCCATCTCTCCAACTGCTTCTTCTTCTTCTTCTTCTTCTTCTTCTTCTTCTTCTTCTTCTTCTTCTTCTTCTTCTTCTTCTTCTTCTTCTTCTTCTTCTTCTTCTTCTTTTTGATTTTTCAGGCGAGGGTTCCTCTGTGTAGCTTTGGAGCCTGTCCTGGCACTTGCTTTGTAGACCAGGCTGATCTCAAACTCACAGAGCTCTGCTGCCTCTGCCTCCCAAGTGCTGGAATTAAAGGTGTGTGCCACCGCCACCCAGCCCTATTTCTTCTTAGACCTGTATTATTTCTCACTATGCATCCCTATCAGTCCTCGAATTCACTGTGCAGATCTGTCCGGCCTACAACTCACAGAGGTCTGCTTGTTTCTGCATTGGGAATGTTGGGATTAAAAGTGTGCACCACCACAGCCATCCAGTTATTATATCCATAGTATGTATCCATCCCCTCCTATAAGCAAAAATGTTCATAACTGTTTCTTGTAGCCTTTCAGAATGTAGTGTACTACCATTATCTATAGTCTGCGTGCCATTTGACAGCCCTGAGGAACTTCTTGCTGTCATCCAGCTGTCACTGACACTGCAACAGTAAAGACCCATTAAAGGAAACTGGCTCCTCCTGGTCAAGAGGACAAACTCTCTGGCCTGGGTGGAATCCTAACATTCCAAGCCATCCAAACAAGTTAATGCATCTGGGCAGGTCAATCACATGCCCAAAAGAACACGCCCAGGGAGGCAGGCTCGCCTTAAACCAGCAGTTCTTAACCTGTGGGTAGCAACTGCTTTGGGGTCACCTATCCGATATCCTGCATATCAGACATTTACATTATGATTCATAACAGTTGCAAAATTACAGTTACGAAGTGGCAGTGAAACACTTGTATGGTTGGGGGTCACCACAGCATGAGGGTCTCAGCAGGGGAGGTTGAGAACGTTGCCCTCAACCGCTCTAAAGGGATAGTTGGAATAGTTATCCCTGTAGTTAGGTATTTTACTCTTCCCTCCCAAAATCCACCCAGCTCAGACTCACTGAGTGCAGCCATGACGCCTCATAAA